AGTTTCTATACCCAGAGAGTATTTAAAGCTAAAACCATTTCCCCAAATAGCAAGGACGTCACAGGGACCCACAGTCAGAAGCAGAAAAGCTCTTTGCTCAAGCATGACTTTCCCAAGTTTGCAAAAAGCCTGCTCCTGGGAGGGACTGTGGGTGAGGGCGCCCTGGGTTGAATTTAGACACTGCATCAAACGGACGTCAACTCTGAGAGTGCAGGTGCCTGGGTTGTTGTGGGACTTCCATGAACACCTCTCTTCCTGCACAGAGCATTACTGAAGAATCCCGGTTTAAAGCCAGCTGTAGTTGCCCATGAATTCCCGCAGCTTACACTAAAAGCCTGGATGAACCCCTCGTTTTGTGGTGGTGGAAGGTGCCATCAAGTTGCGGCCGATTTAGGGCGACGCAAGGCAAGAGAGGGTCAGATCAGAGGTGGTTTTGCCGTTGCCTTCGTCAACATGGCGACCCTGGACTTGGTGGTCTCTCATTCACTTTCCAGCCGTGGCTGATCCTGCTTAGCTTCCGAGAGCTGATGAGATCGGGCTAGCCTGGAATCCCTCTCTGGGGAAGATAACTAACCCTGCTTGAGCTGCGTGCTTGCCTTCATACATCACAAGGCAGTGTTCCCTCTGAGCTGTGTTAGTGTGAGCCAGCTCACAGTTTTTCAGCCTCCGGCTCACACATTTTTGTCTCGGCTCAGGAAGGAGGGCCCCAGAGCAAACTAAGTTACGCAGCAGCCGAATCGCTCGCTCACCGCTTTAACGCCAGTAGCTCACAAAGTAGAAATTTTGCTCACAAGACTCCACGGAGTATTGATCACAGTGTTCCCTCTAAGCTGAGTCAGTGTGAGCTAGCTCACAGTGTTTCAGCCTCCAGCTCACAGATTTTTGTCTTCGCTCAGGAAGGAGGGCTCCAGAGCCAACTAATTTATGCAGGAGCCAAATCGCTCGCTCACAAATTTCATGCCAGTAGCTCACAGAGTAGAATTTTCGCTCACAAGATTACACAGCTTAGAGGGAACATTAGGTAGCCAGAATTTTCTTAAAACCAGGGTTTCTTCTTGGTGCCGTGTTCGAAAAGGTGTGAACCCGGCGGCCAGCTGGGTTTGCGCACATGTCGGCTTAACGTGACATCGGGATGCAGCCATAGCGTGGCCTTGAGTTATAGGTCTCTCTTCTGGATTTCCACTTCCCAGCTCCTGTTTTTCAGAGCATCGGATGGCTTTCTGGAATTGAAAATGTGAAGCGTGGAATCCATGTCTATACTTCAGTGACTGAAGCCTGGGCTGAGCCGCACAGCTTGCAGAAGTTCTTTGAATAATCACACCTAGCACATGTAAAGGCAGCGGTTCGTTATCTGGGAGATGAAGCTACTTATGTGGTCTTTCATAAAGGGCAGGCTTTGAACTGAGGTCCGTTTGATTAAAAGCGAATGGTGGATGCAAAGACAGGTCTGCGTTAGTCGTCTCCACGCATTCTGTTTCCCGCAAGCCGCTTCTTTTTGAGGCAGGAGTGAGATTTCTCAGCCACGTCCTGCTTTAATGGCATAGTAGCGGGTTTCCCGACGTAGGACCCGAGAAATATCTTGCCTTTGCTTTCCTTGAACAAGATCCTGTTCAGTTTCTGATGAAGACCAGTCGCTGGTATACATTCCAGGTACGATTGCAGAAAAGCCGCAAAACATGGCCAAGTCTGCCTGAGCTTGCAGGTGGTGAGTCTGATTGGGTCCCGTTTTGACTGGCATCAAGGGTGTTCTTATGCGAATGTGCGGAGCGGCTTTGGGCTAGCTCATTATCGTAAGCTGCCTTGGACCACGAGGAAGGGCAGAGAAGAAGAAGAAGAAGAGATTGGATTTATACCCCTCCCTTCACTACCCAAATGTGTCTCAGAGCGGCTTACAAACTCCTTTCCCTTCCCCTCCCCACGGGCAGCTGTGTTAGTCCATCTGTAGCAGTAGAAAAGAGCAAGAATCCAGTACCGCCTTGAAGACTAACCAAATATGCGGCAGGGTACGGGCTTTCGTGAGTCATGGCTCTCTTCTCCAGATATCTGAAGAAGCGAGCAGCGACTCACGGAAGCTCGTATCCTGCCACATATTCGGTTAGTCTTCCAGTTGCTACTGGACTCTTGCGCTTTCCTACTGCGAGTCTTCTAGTTACTTTAGAGGACCGGAGAAACAATTGCCAGTTCCTGTGCACCAGCTGTCGCTCCGACACTTGAATAGTTTCTGATCACAACACTGGAGGAAACAGAGGTCCTTAAGGTACTGTCGTCAGGTTTCCTACTGTCCAGGCGGATAAGCCTGATCATTCGTTCTGAAGGCTTTTGTGGTCACTGGTCTTTGTGTCCCATGTTCTTCCTGGTCCAGCTCCTACCTGAATCATCATT